GGTCCCTGTGCTGTGTGCAGTCTAGCGACTTGGTGCCCTGTGTCCCAGCCACTCCAGCTGTGATTGAAAGGGGCCAATGTAGAGTTAGGGCCAGAGCTTCAGAGGGTGCAGGCCTCAAGCTTTGGTGACTTCCACATGGTATTGAGCCTGAGAGTGTGCAGAAGTCAATAATTGAGGTTTGGGAACCTACATCTAGATTTCAGAAGATGTATGGAAATGCCTGGATACCCAGATAGAAGTTTGTTGCTTAGGTGGGGCTCTCATGGAGAGCCTCTGCTAGAGCAGTGCAGAAGAGAAATGTGGAGTCAGACCCCCTACACAGATTCCCTACTGGGGCACTGCCTAGTGGAGCTGTGAGAAGAAAGTGACTGTCCTCCAGGCCACAGAATGGTAGATCCATTGACAGCTTACACGATGCACCTGCACATTTCAAAACTGATCATGCCTTCCCAATAGTCCCCCAAATTCTTAACTCATTTCAGCATTAACTCAGAAGTCCACAGTCCAATGTCTCATCTGATACAAGGCAAGTGCCTTCTGCCTATGAGCTTGTAAAATCAAAAGCAAGTTAGTTATTTCCTAGATACAATGGGGGTACAGGCATTGGGTAAACACAGCTGTTCCAAATGGGACAAACTGGCCAAAACAAAGAGTCTACAGGCCCCATGCAAGTCCAAAATCCAGCGGGCAGTCCAATCTTAAAGCTCCAAAATGACCTCCTTTGACTCCAAGTCTCCCATCAGGGTCACGCTGATGCAAGAGGTGGGCTTCCATGGTCTTGGGCAGCTCTGCCTCTGTGGCTTTGCAGGGTACAGCCTCCCTCCTGGCTGTAACATTTATTTACAGCCAACTGTTCTTTGACAAAGTCAACAAAAACACACAGTGATGAATGGGCACTCTATTCAATAAATGGTGTTGGGAAATTGGATGGCCGTATGCAGAAGAATAAAACTGGAACAATGTCTCTTGCCTTATGCAAAAATTAACTCAAAATGGATTGATGACTTAAATGAAAGACCTGAAACTGTAATAATTCTAGAGGAAAATATGGGAAAAACTCTCCTACGTATTGACCTAGGCAAAGAATTTATGACTGAATCCTCATAAGCAAATGCAAGAGAAACCAAAATTGACAAATGAGAGTTAAACTTGACCACAGGTAACTTAAATTAAAAATATTCTGCACAGACAAAGAAATATCAGAGTGAACAGATAGCCTAAGGAATGAGAAAAATATTTGCAAACTGTGTATTGAACAAAAGACTAATATCTGAAATCTACAAGTAACTCAAACAATTCAACAAGAAAATAACAAACCATTTAAAAAATAGACAAAGAACACAAAAAGATATTTTTCAACAGAAGCATATACACAGCCAACAAACATACGAATAAAGGCTGAAAATCACTAATCATCAGACAAATGCAAATTAAAACCACAATGAGATACCATATTACACCAGTCAAAATGGCTATTAGTAAAAGGCAAAAAATAACAGATGTTGAAGATTAGGAGAAAAGGGAATGCTTATACATTGTTGCTGGAAATGTAAATTAGTATAACCTCTATGGAAAACAGTATAGAGATTTCCTAAAGACCCAAAAAATAGAACTACCATTTGTTCCAGCAATCCCACTACTGGATATCTACCCCAAAACAAATAAATCATTATATCAAAAATATAACTGTACTTGTATGTTTAGCACAGCACTATTTACAATAGCAAAGATATAAAATCAACATAAGTGTCTATTAGCAGATGATTGGGTATAGAAAATGTGATATTTATATATATACATATACCCCATGGAATACTACTCAGCCCTTAAAAATAAAATCACGTCTTTTATAGCAGCATGGATGGAATTGGAGGCTATTACCTTAAGTGAAATAACTAGAAACAGAAATTCAAATACCACGTGTTCTAATTTATAAGTGGGGAGTAAATAGTGTGTACATGTGGGCATAGTAGAATAATAGGCAAATAGACAATGGACACTCAGAAAAACAGGAGGAAGAAAGTGGACTAGGGAATGAGAAACTATCTAATGGGTACAATGGATACTATTTGGGTTACGGTTACACTAAAATCCACGTCACCACTATGCAATATAACCACGTAACAAAATTGTACTTCTATCCCCTAAATCTATGAAAATAAAAAAGAAATAAATTTTTAAAAAGAAAAAAATAAAGAACCGAAAGAGAAAAAAAAAGTGCCAATCAGTAATCTACTTCTTAAAATAAGTGCTTTTCAAATCAACATGATCTGGGGAAATTTATTCCTGGTAGAGTGGCAGTACAATTAGTATTAAAGGATTTAGAATTAAAGCACACAGGAAGGAAGGAGAAAAATATGAGATTATTGTTGTAAAGCTCTGCGGTTTCTACAGGTGACAATGGCATATATTACTTGACACTAGACTATAATGGATTAGTACATTCTAATCTTTAAGACAACCATTAAAAACATGAAACAAGCAGAAATAACAAATAGGTCCATAATGAAGATGAAATTATTATTAAAATACCCAATTACAGGAATTCTAAAGAAGACATGAACAGAGGGAAACAGAAACAAAGAAGAAATGAGAAACAGAAATCAAATAGTGATATTTGTATTCAACTCTAACGATAATTAGATTAAATTAAAATTTAATGGTCCAATCACTCCAGCTAAAAGGTAGATATTATCACACTGTATGCAAAAATACATCAAGAACTAACTAACTGCATGTTGTCTATAGGAAAGGCCCTTTAAAAATAAGGACAGAGTGATTAAAAGTGAAAGGATGGAAAAAGATATAATATGTAAGCCCTAATCATAAGAATGATTAGTAAAAATAGACTACAGAATAAGATATACTACCAGGTAGAAAGAAAGGTATTTATAATAGGGTCCATTAATAAAAAAGACACAACAATCCTTAATGTCTATGCACATGGTCCTAAGTATAAAACTTCAAAATTTTTAAAGAAAAAATTGACAGAAGTGAGAGTGTACAATTCCTCAGTTCAGTTTACATACTCCAAGACACCTTTTTTTCAGTAATTGACGCAAAAAGTAAACAACAATCACTAAGGATATAAAAGATTTGAACAACACTCTCTACCAACTTCACATAAGTGGTATTTGTCTAACACTCTCCTTGCACATCCAGATGAACATATCATTATTTACATCTGGCACACTTTTGAATGGATTTAGAAGCAAAAATCAGTAAGTCAGTTTGAGGTATAAATATCATATGCCAATGTGTGTCAACCAAATGCAAATTTTGGGATGTTTTTGTTGTCAATCTTACGTCTTAATATTCATAATGAAATATTAAAACAAATTCATATAAGTTGAAATTCAAAAGAGTACTAGAATGGAAATTAGTTTAACATTCTTTCATTGCTCCTTAAAAAGCATTGTTAAATGGTTTGTCCTGCCTAAATCTAAGAAAACTTGATAATTTGCTATAAATCTTTTCTAACTATTAATTGCTTTCATACTGTTATTGCCATACAAATTATTGTGTCCAAGGTTATTATTATTAGATTCCTCAAAGATAATTATCGGTAATATAAATACACTTAAAATTCTAGTGTGCTAAACCACATTGAGTTAGTTGGCATGTATATTACCTGAATTAATCCTATTCAGAATGTAACAGCAAACAAAATAGACGTTCTTTCAAAAATTGTATTAATCAAGCATTTATATATTCCCACCCTATGACTATTGTCAATAGGTAACTCAGGAACGAAAATTATTTAGTGTTCTAGTCTTGTGTACTCATTATATGTATGCATTTCTTTCTTCTCTTTATCAATTAAATCATAACATATTAGTTTTATATCTAAATATTTTAATGTCAGATTATATGACAGTCTACAATCTAGTTGAAAACATTAATAGGAAGTTGGTTAGTTGCAGTGAAAGCAAAGTAAAGGAAACAACTTACTTCAACAGATACGGCTATACATATACACACACACACACACCTGTTTTTCTTAAAAAGCTATTGAATAAAACATAGTACAATTCTAAAAGAAGTTTGGGTCCATTAGTTTCCCTTTCACAGACATTTTACTCTCCATAGAAGAATTAACTATTTCAAGAAAAAAAGGATGATCCTGTTGCTAAAAGAGGCTTATAACCCAATTCATATCATTTCTCTCATTCTTTCTTCCCTCCTCTCTCTCGCTCCCTTTCTATCTCTCTGGTCATGTAACTAACGGTAACCTGCTTTGACCAAAGATTCTCTCTGCAAAACAAATGATTCCACAACAAAATAAATATCACCCAACTTTCCTAATGTCTATGCGAGCAAATTAAAACTTCATAGACTTATTTTTGTCAATTTAAATTTCATTACCTATCATTTAAATTAGAACTTAGAATTCATATTTGGAATATGGTAGGACAAAGACAACTAACATTCTAGTTTTAGAGGGAAATGATTTCGTTAATTCAAATGTTAAGCCAAACAACGTGTCCCAGATGCCTTTTGTTTCATTTCTTCTCTACATTGGTAATAATAATGAAACGTGCGATTGGGTTGAGACAATGAAGCAAGGGAAAGAATAAGGAAAGGAAATAATTCTGGTTAATTTCACTTTTATTCCCAGGTATCTAACAAATTATTTTTATATGTAATGTAGGTTGCTTGAATTACTTTCATATTTCACATTTTTTAAATAATTGCTTTTAGTACAGATCTCCTGAATGGTAAACATAGTCACTATGAATTCTCAGCTTTGTAAATGTTAGAAAGTTTTATCACAGTTTCTAAAACATTACTCTATTGAAATGAAGTGGCTTCATGGTTACAATAAATAGAAAAGATTAATTTTTAGAGAAAAGAAAAAGAAATTCAATTTTTATTAAGACATGCTATATAGGAATAATTTTAATCGTAATAAATACATCATTCTTGTTTGTTAAATTCAAATTCATAGTATGACATCATAAATTGTGGCAATTGATATTCATATATTCTTTTGATTACAGATAATGTAAACAGGATTATACAGACGGCATTGCAACAAGGTGAATATTTATTTGTCTGTAAATTTGGAACATTTATGTAAGGCATTTGGATATTCAACATTTTTTTTTTTGTTTCCTTGTTTGTTTTTTCTGGTTCTTGATTCAGTATAGATATTCAATTCTTAAGTTTCTCTGAGATTGATTTAAAAAACCCATAAAAGAGATTGATCATAAACACATATGAGAAATTGATCATGTCATTTTTGAAATGATTTATTACGTGTTTCAAGGACATAATCAAAAATTAGGAAAATATATGCATTATATTTGTCAGAGGAGGCTCCAAACACTATATTTACTCTAATTCTAATGTAGTATGATATTTAGTTTTAGTTCAATCATAGTCCAGAGCCACACATGCTATTTTAATATCTTCCAGATAGAGATTTAGATGTTTTGAGTCTTACTTTATTTCTCTGATCTCTAATCACTTGTTAATCTCAGCATTGTGTGGCTTTAGCAAGTTTCACCAAATATTCCCTGGAATGGATGTATGTCTCTTGAGTTGCCAACAGTTATACATGCAAAAGTAAGTGGAGATATTTAAAAATAAATATCTAGCATGTATGTGTATGTTTAATTGTGTAATTTAAATCATATTATTTATTGTTTTTAGCGAAAAATAATTACTTTTCACAAGCATATCAGCACAAGAAAGAATGGTATCAATGGATCAGGGAAACCAAACCTCCTTTTAATAAAGGTCTAGAAACTGATTTGGTTCAATTGTCAGTTATGGCATTTGCACTTCAATGAGAAAATATTGAACAAAGAGATAAAATAGTTTAACTCAGGACATGAAAGACCACAAAATTCAAAGTGCATTTAAATTTTATTTGTTTTGATTTATTTATGTGGGAAAGATTTGAAAATGTCTGTGACACATCGATAATCTTTAGGCCCAAATCACTGACCAGAATTGGAATCAGAATGTATAAAATAAAGATAATAGCAAAGTTTGTACAAGAAACATAAGTAAATGTATGTACTTACAATTTTAAAAAAATAGGTTCCTATAAATATTAAAATAATCTTGACAAAAATGTTTAGAACTTTAATTAAATGAAGGCTTTATCTGTAATATCAAATAAAATAGCATATTTATAATAAAGAAGTTTTTGTCTACAAAGGGAAATAAATATTTTTGTGAAAGAAGATACCAAGCTTTAAATATTAGGACCTTTTCCCAAAAACATAAAATTAGAAAAAAATTAAATAAAGGTAATATTTTAATGTAAAATTATGCTATAAAGCGTATATTTATAACTCAGAATTCATTCTTAACTCATATTTTATATGAAAGTTAGAGAATAAAGCTGTGTTCACATGAATGTTAAAAATGCTTACATGCTAACACCTATTCATAACAAAGACTTGATCAATTTTGAGTTAGCTTTATATTATGCTTCCTAACATTGGACCATTATAGATTTGAGATTTAATACAATCCCTTAGAAATAAAGTTTGGTCCAAGACAATTCCCAAGTGTTGAGACTCAAACAAAAGTTGACAGTAATAATGCTGTAGCTTATCCAGTCTGCATTCTGTGTTACTCAATTTCAACTGAGCACCAACTTAGAGCAAGGGTTATGTACGCAAATTCAATAAGAAGGTTAATTTATATACCTGAAGAAAATGGGAAATTAATTTCTTGATTTACAACTGTAGTTTAAACTGCAGGTCAAAAAAGAATTATTTTACATGTGTCTATTTTCAACTTTGTCTTCAAATAAGTTCATGTTTCCCAATGTGGTTTCATATAAAAAATAGCAACTTTCAGTTGTACAGTTTATTGTTTGTTGTTATTTTGTTTGTTTATTTTTAATTTTTGTGGGTACATATCAGGTGTATATATTTATGTACATGTACAGTGTCTTAATTATACTTATCAGCATAATTTGTTGTACTTTTATGTTTTTATATGTAATATTTTTCCCCAATCCACTTTTGGCAAACAAAGTTTTTGCATCCTCTGTTCAGATTATTTAAAATTTCATTAAAAGTACACATTAAAACTAAAACAAATCATATGATAGTAATTCAATGTATTTTTTACCTTATAAAATGTTATAAAATTTTAAAGAATTGTTTTATTCATTTCCCCCACATATTATTACACTTAACTAAACATCATAAAAACATTCATTTGAAAAAACAAGAGGCAAAACAGAAGAAACAATGTTAACTTTCAAATTAATATATTGAAAAGTTATAGAAAATAGACTTTTAAAACTATATTATAGTAGGAAGTTTTACTTAATAAAATAACTTTTTAATAAGGTGTTGGTTCTTTTATAGATCTGCAACGGTTGCAGAAATCATTAACATCATTAATACATGTTCTTTTTTATAGTAAAATACTTGTGGGTATTGCTTCCCTGACATAGAAGAACAAGTTGCTTTAAGATGAAAAAGGTTACCACAGTTCAATTTTGCCAATATGGTAATATACTTGCAGGAAAAAAATTGAGAAATTGGAATTTTGTTCTAAAAATTCAAGCCAAATATGCCGGTGCACATAATAATTTTGAAAATTAGCTCACTTCTTTTCACAGTGCATGCATGTAGACAGAGCTGGTGATGTAGATCACAGTGGCACAACTTCTATGACAGCTGTGTTTAGCCTGCTTTGGAGCACTATCAAAGAAGAAGTATTAGTCTTTTGCAAAAGCCTCTCCAATCCTTGAACATGTATTTCCTTTCTGCCTCTGCATTATTGAAGTCATTCCAATGACAAGAAGAAGGAAAAAATAAAAATGACACAGCAGTAGAGGATGTGCTACCTAGTACGGATATTAATTCCCGCATAAGAATTCAGGAACTTCTAAGGCTAGCCATGAAAACTTCCGTCCCCTCAAATCTTCTTTTTCAACTTTTAAAAATTTAAACCATTCTTTTTTTTTAAAAATTGTCCTTTATGTTCTAGGGTACATGTGCACAACATGTAGGTTTGTTAAGCAACGCACTAAACTGCTTTTCCTGAGCAGCCACCCTCAATACCTTGAAATGTTCATAGACCTTTCCTAAATGTTAATACACATAAACATATTAAAAATAATTAAACCACATTTTTGCCATAAAGTTTTGTAATTTCAAAGCAAGAGTGGTAAATGGTAAAATAATATTTTATTCCTTAAATTTGTTAATAAAATGATAGTTAACTCCCTATTAATTTACAATGAGAAATTTAGAATTTGAAATGCCAATCCCAAAATAACGATAGACAATTTTAATAGTGTATAGCTGTGGATAAAGTTGGATTTTTTACTTTTTAATTTTTATGCTTACTCCTTAAATAACTTAGCCAGTTATTTATAAATTTTATTAAAATCAGTAATTTATTTACACAAAAGAATATTGCCTTCTGACATTTTTATAATTTCTAGAAAAGCCAGATTTCTGCTTTTTGGAAGAAGATCCTGGAATATGTCGAGGTTATATTACCAGGTATTTTTATAACAATCAGTCAAAACAGTGTGAACGTTTCAAGTATGGTGGATGCCTGGGCAATATGAACAATTTTGAGACACTGGAAGAATGCAAGAACACCTGTGAAGATGGTTGTAAGTTTATTTCTCATTTCATTTTAGTACATTTATAGGCATTCTTTTAAAACTAAGGCATCTCAGATGATATTCAAGCCTACTCAGATTTTGTTTTAGCCATGCAAATGAAGATATGTATTCATTAAATGTGACATTTGTGACTATAGTTTTTTAAAAAGCATAGAAAATTAAGAAATTATTTTCATAGATCTATTTCTTTTTATGTTGCATTATTTAATTTTTCTTCCTGAGAATACTGCAGTACAATTTTGGCGCAATAGAGTTGTTGAAATCTTTCACATTTATACAAATATAAGAGCAAACCGTTAATGAAAACTACCACCTAAAATCAATTAGTTTTATCTGCCTGTAACATTGATTAAAGGGATGACTTAAACATTAACTGTCATGCTTTTTTGACCAAGAACTACAGTTACTCATGGAAATATTACCTTACAATATATTTAAAGATTCACTGTTTGCTAATTTAACATAGCAATGTGAATTAAATTGCCAGAAGTCTTCTTTATTAACTGTTGTATGCTTCATGAGTCCAAATATGAGATTGTGACAATGTTTATCTATTTTAATTGGCTGTCTTTTTTTCCAGTGAATGGTTTCCAGGTGGATAATTATGGAACCCAGCTCAATGCTGTGAATAACTCCCAGACTCCACAATCAACCAAGGTTCCCAGCTTTTTTGGTAAGAATCTTGTGGATTTTATAGCTTCCAGGAAACTATTATCCCGGTAACAATGAAGTGGATTGTGTATTAGAAGTATGTCTTTAAATATACGTATACCTGTGTTGTTGCTTAATAATGTGTTTGTTGAAATACTGAGATTCAAATTGTTCAAGAGATTTAATCTCATAAAAGCAACAATTTTCCTATCTATTTTAAAATATGCTTTGAAGTAGGCTTTTGATTATGTATCACATGAAAAACTTTCACATGATATTTAGCTCTATGCCAAATTTATTTTGTAAAACAACACTAGGAATTATCAGCCTCGGTGTAAGATGGTAAATCATTTTACTGGCACAGCAGTGCATCAAAGGCAGTTTAAAGTGCTTTTAAAGTCAGTGTAGCGCTAGGCAAGGTCTCTGGTGTTACTCAGAGGACAGATTAGAAATGGACTGAATAACCATGCCTAAATGTTTATGTCACTCTGGAGGGAATTTCCTTTTGAATTCTTCAGGACTCTTTTTTATGTTCTTGTCTGTTAACTTATTTATCAGATTTAAATGAATATACAGAAAATATTTCCACAAAATGCAGAGCTGAGAAAATAGTGAAAATACTGGAAAATATAATCAGGAACCACAAATATCTGGGCAGTTAGAAATAACTTAAAAAGCTAAAAATTACCAGTGTAAAAATATTAGATCTTAGCTAAATTATAAAAATCACATGTTCTTATTCAGATGTTTAAGATTTTGCTTAGAAGTAGTCCATGTGAACATGTCAAATGTAAACTTGGCATGTTTATATATAAACTTAGCCTGAGTGTAAGGAATTCTGTAACTATTAAAATTGCAATCTTAGGATTAAAATAATTTAAAAAAAAAAAAAAAAGAAAGAAACATAGTGTTTGGCCCAGGAATTATCTACCTTGACCATTTATCAGAATCAGATTGGCTTTGAGCTACTCCTCTTTATAGCAGACAAACAAACAAGCAACTAAGCAAGCAAGCCAACAGAATGCAAACAAAACTCTTGCCCAGGTGGATTTGAAGCATTAAAATGTTGACTCCGACTTATCTAGAAAGAGTGTGTGAATGTTCAGCTGAGTCCCACAGTGATCTAATCATTTGTGGATCTTGCTTCAGCACTGAATGTCACACCTTGGAAATCACAAGGAGGATTTGAAACATGATTAAAGAGGAAATGGAAAGTGTAAAGAGACGTGAGATCTACGAGGGAGCATAATATGTGCTTTTAATAATTGAAACACTATTATGTGAAAGGAGAAGTTCTCTGCATGCCTTACCCTTTAGTCCTGCCTATTTCAGACCCTCCCCAGACCCCCATCCCCATTCTCCCTTATCCCCCTCAACCCAGCCTAAGCATGAGGATTAGTGTGTGAGAGCTGAAGTATAAATACCTTTCTATAATATGCTTCTTTCTTATGTGAGATCTTAAAAAAATTGATGACTGTCTCAGGGATTAATAAATTCCCTAAATTGCAGGCATTCGGTAAGTGTTCAATTAGTACTTAAGAGGTCATTAAGGGAATGCAAGCTTTCAGTGGGAGTAGGAAAGTACGATATATTCAAAATGACTTCAGGCCCTTTACATTCAATAGGTAGAGCAGTGAATTGAATGCCAGATGAACTTGAGTCTAATTTTTAAATACTACTTCATTTGTAAAAATTAATACCTTTGTGATTCTGATTTATCTGAAAAATTAAGTACTATCATTTCATTGTTTCTTCATGTCTTTCCAGCTTTATATTTTTCACTCATATTTTGTTTTATTCAGTTAAGTATTATATTTTCAAAAGCACACTAAATCTTACTGCTGTAAAAGAAAATTTAGAATGACAAAATTATTAACAGATTTAAATATACATGTGACACAGTATATCAACAAGTACAAGAAATGTATGAAATCAGTTTGCAACATATTTGAATATTTTTGTTTGAATTATTTTACCAATTCAAGTGGAGATCTGCAGTCATTTATCTTTAAAGTGAGTAGAGTAGGCTACGGAATAGTTTCAACTTAAATTTTTTGAAGCATAAAATTTAAAATTTTGGTAAGCGTACTACCAAATTAGAAAGGGCAAAATGAAAGTAAGTGTGAGAAAGTAATATTAATGAGTTTTAAATGCCCTCTGATATGTGTCTTCTTTAGTTTATTATGTAGCTCCACATTGAAAATTGTAACAAATAAATAAATGCTTGTAAAAGCAAATTACTAAGTAAGCAGTAAGAATTGACAACATGAATTTAAAAGAAAACAATATTAACAATAATTTATTCAGAATAATAGACATTTAAGGAATAATATTATCATAACTGCACTTAAAATTAGGGCAAATGTCTCCTTTATTTGTCTAGAAAACTTTTATTTTTTTATTGTGTATATTGGCCTCAAAATCAACATTCCTCCAGCCAATTTGATCAATTTTCCTCTTTTTCTAGGAGCATAATATATTTCTTTCTCCTTCCTTCCTTCCTTCCTTCTTCCTTCCTTCCTTCCTTTCCTCTTTCCTTCTTTCTTTCTTTCCTTCCTTCCTTCCCTTTCTTTCTTTCCTTCCTTCTTTTTCTTTCCTTCTTTCCTTCCCTTTCTTTCCTTCTTTCCTTCATTCCTTCCCTTTCTTTCCTTCTTTCCTTCCTTCCTTCCCTCCCTCCCTCCCTCCCTCCCTCCTTCCTTCCTTCCTTCCTTCCTTCCTTCCTTCCTTCCTTCCTTCCTTCCTTCCCTCCCTCCCTCCCTCCCTCCTCCCTCCCCTCCCCTTCCCTTCCCTTCCCTTCCCTTCCCTTCCCTTCCCTTCCCTTTCCTTTCCTTCCTTCCTTCTTTCCTAACTTAAAACATGAAACAATGTTGCAATAACTAGGAGACATTTGATATTAAGGATGGCATAACATGGATTGTCCATGAAACTATGTTGCCATTCTTCTTAAAACCTACATGATTTCTAATCTGCCCCAGCCAAGATGCAGAAGTGGGAAGGCAGATGTCCCTGTACTCTGTCTAAAACCTAGAGGACCCCTTGTCACTTCTGTCTGAGGGATTTGCTGAGATCTATAGACACCTCTTAATTTCCCCAATCAAATATAATTACATCTGTCACTGCTTACAATTATATTGATACATTCTATTGTCGCTTAAGAAAATGCAATTCTTTGTATACATAAAACTTTGTTTTTCAAGGGTTTTATCAAATGTGTAAGGTTCTCTGTGGTATCAGATTATTTTGAAAAGCTGTAAATCCTTTAAAGTTTCAATTCATTGTACAGGAATAATAATCTGCCCCACAACATAAATGAAACACCATAAATGGAACACCATTCTTTTAAAATTCTTTCCACTAAATAACAATTTTTAAGTAGAGTATTTGAATATTCTAAAATTCAATTATTATTAAGTGAAATATTTATAAGTATAATTTTAATGTTTTTCTTCATGATATTATGGAAACATTTTAGAAGTTTAAACATTATTAGAATGCGACTTTTTAAAAATTGCTATTTATTTTTAATTACTAGAATGTTGTAAACAACTTTCAAGATATGTTTTCCAGTAAGCTTTCTTGATTCAAGATACTTGAATACTTACTAAGCACAATTCGGGTGTAATTTTTCTTTTTATTTCCACATTTCAATATTAACAAGTTATTTAGGTAATCTCAAAGACAGTCTTATGCTTCCTTAAGAGATTTTAAATAATGATTTGTAAGCATATCCCTGAGTGTGAGTGCATTATTTCAGTTTGATAGGCTGTGTTGAGTATATCCATGTAGTTCAAATAAATGTGTTCTCTCCACATGTATAAAAGAAATATTTCTAAAGCAATTTCCCTAAATGTGTGCCATTTTGTGCATAAACTCTAGAATTGAAAACCATCAAAATTGGTTCTTCTTGATTTCCCACATGATTGAAATGATATAGCAAATAAAAAACCTTTCAGCCTGAAGACATGAGTTAAATTCCCAACTCTTCAACTAATAGCTGTGTGACCCTCAGATACTTCTTAAACTGAGTTTCGTCTTTCCAGTGTAAAATGAGGATGGTAATACTATAGTACTAACTTGATAGGTTGTGTTATGAGGTTAAATCAGTCAAAATATATAACTTTCTTAGGACAGTGCCTAATATCTAGTCAGTTGGTGTAGGGTTCCTCATTATTATTATCCATGTGATTCAGAGTAGTACGCTTAACTCACCAGGCTTTAGATTCTCATTTGTAAAACAACTCCTTTGTAAGTTCCTATTTGCAGAACAAATTTTTATTTCAGACACTCAAAAAGTCTCTAGTTATTCAGATAAATGCATCAGTAAATATACAGTCTCAAAATCATGACTAATATTTTAAGAAGAATTAATACTAGAACTAAATTAATGCATATATGGAAACTCGAAGAGTTTGAATGTGTTTATTAGAAACAAGATGAGATTATTGTCACAGAGAAGTATCATGGGGCTTCAAGGTCAAAAGATGTTTATTTGTATAATTTTTCTTTATCTTTTCGACATTCCCAAGTTTCCAAAGTTTTTGAGTTTTTCCACTGTTTTTCTGATTATTCCAATTTGAATGATTAGTAATTTTCTTTGTATCACTTCAATTCTTCCAGTCATTCATTAAATTTCATTGCTTTTTATGAAATGTTTATTTCTGTCTCTTCCATTTTCACTCATATTTATTTTGTTCATATCATCAATCCTTCATGGTTAGATTACCTAAACAATCATGTCATCCAATTTGGAACACTAATGATAGTTAAAGAGGGTGTTAAAAAATTAAGGTATATGTCTATTTTAAATATATGTATGCATTGACATAAAATTGGAATTGTCATTTTGGTGACTCTACAAAAAATAGTTTTATATTTAAAAGTATTTTAGTATTTTTAAATTATATATATAATTTACATATATATTTATATATTAATATATATTTTTATATATTATTTATATATATTATATAAATTTATATATATTATATATATTTTTATATATTAACATATATATTTTTATAT